ATCAGGGAAGCCTGGTTTTTAGTATACTTTTAAGATTGTGCAACATTAATCCCAACTATATAATTTCAGAACATTTTCATTACCACGAAAGAAATCCTGTACCCATTAGTAGTTACTCCTCATTCCTCTCTCCTTCCATCTTGTGGAAGTTACTTATCTACTTTCTGTATATATAGATTTGCCCATTCTGGATGTTTCACATAAATGAAATCATATAATAAGCGTGAGTTTGTTACTGGCTTATTTCACTTAGCATAATGTCTTCAAGGTTCATTCAGGTTGTAGCATGGCTCAGCATTTCATTTTTGTGGCTGAATAATACCCCATTGTATGGATATACCATATTTTGTTTACCCATTCATCAACTGATGAACATTTAGGTAGTTTCCAGTTTTTGGCTATTATGAATAACATGGCTATGAACATCTGCATACAAGTTTTCATGTGGATGTATGCTTTCTATTTTCTTGGGTACATACCTAAGAATAGAACTGCTGAGTCATGTGGTCACTCTATGTTTAACTTTCTGAGGAACTGACAAAGTTTTCCAAAGTGGCTGCACTAATTTACATTCCCACCAACAACATATGAGAGTTCCAATTTCTCCAAATCCTCACCAACACTTGTTATTGTCCGTCTTTTTCCTTACTGCCATCCTAATGGGTATAAAGTGGTATCATATTGTGATTTTGATTTACATTTCCCTAATTACTCCTTTTTTATGTTGTCATTTATATTTTACCTTTTTGGTATATGTATTTCTGATTGGAGGCCTGACGTCTTTTGTGGAACAAGTACCCCATGGAGTAGGAGAGCCATGGGTGTCAGGGCCAGACTGTCCTGGTTTTGAATCCTCCCTCAGCTTCTGTTAGCTGTATGACCTTGAGCAAGTTATGTAAAACTCTGAGTCTCCGTTTCCCCACTTACTAAATGTGGCTTACAGTATTAACCTTTCATGGTTGTTGCTGTTATTATAAAGATAAACCTGTAATAAAGCCACGGTGTGGGCCTGGCATAAAGTAGGTCCTCGGTGAATCTTAGTAAGTCTGAGAGTCTGACAGGGAGGTTTCCAGCTTGGTCAGGAGACCTAGGCTGGGGACTGTTCAGATTTTAATCTATTATCTCTTTTATTGAAGCAACTTTCTACAGCAGAAGTATTTTAGGCTGCCTCAAACATCAGCCTCTCTGTATCTCTATTTCCCTTTTGTGACTTGAGAAATGAGGCTGTGCACCATAATGTGAATGTTGGTCAGCCTGGAGGGCTCACTGTAACCTCTTACAAGTCTCGTCTCTTGCCTCAATCATCTTACTAGCTGCTGCCTAAAGGAATATCTCCTCCCTCACGAAGGGCTCTCCAGGGTGAGGAGGGAAGTGAACTAAACATTCCTAAGAGCCTACAAGTAATGCGCACTACCTTATTTTATCCGCTCCGTGAGCTGGCCAGGTAGGTTCTAGTACCCCATTTCACAAATGGGGAAATTGAGATTCCAAGAAGTTAAATAACTTTTCTGAAATCACACAGCCAGCAAATGCTGGCGCCTGGATTCAAACCCAGCTCTGATTTCAACATCTGATTCCTTTTCCCTGTGCCCTCTACCCACCCCTGTCCCCCAACGGAAGGCCCTCCAGGAACTTCTGAATGAATGAGTGGCTGATTCTCCTCCTCCGAGCTCGACAGAGACAATGTCATCCCTCTGAGCTGAGATCTGCCCCTCAGACGCCACAGGTAGGCTCTCTCCTGGGGCCACAGAACAACCCCCAGTCTGTTCCAGGCCACAAAAAGCAGCTCTGCCCTGGGAGTCAGGATGCCGGGCTTTGCCCCCACTACTACAGACTTAACCCACCCAGGCTTCAGTACTCTGCCCATGAGTTCTCTAAGCGAAGGACTGGATCTACTCGCCTCTAGGTCCCTGGCATCCAGCACAGGGCTGGGCACAGATGCCACTGACCCAGCCTAGGCCATCTCCACAGACCCACAGCTGCATCTCGCACAGGCCTGCCCTCGCATGGGAGCTGTTAATGACAGGGCTGGCCCTGGGGCAGGGGGAACAGGAAGACACCTCCACATGTCCAGGCCAAGGCGCTGGCCCTCACCAGATGTGCCAACAGTCAGAAAGGAACAGTCAGAGCTGGGCCAGCAAATCCCCACCCCAGACTGAAATAGAAACCCATTTCAGAGACAAATGGGGAAATGGCCCCGGGACAAGAGGGGTGGGGTGTGGGTGTCATTGGGGAGGGCCCTGGAGACACAGTTTCCTGAGAGCCTTGACGTGTCTCTGCTGCAATGGGTGGGCACTGTCGCCAGGCTCTGCTAACTCACCCCTCCTCTAGGGAGGACAAGTTAGAATTCCGGGTCCCATCCTGGATAATATGCTTTAACCTCTCTGAACTTCATCTTCCTCAACTGCAAAATGGGGATAATGATAATCTTGGCTGCATTTGCTTTTATGTGAAGCACTTAACACATAGTAGGTGCTCAATAAGTGATAGCCATTGTTATTATCGCTTAACCTTCTCTTTCAGCTCAATATTGACTGAGTGATTTATTCATTTGTTTTTTCATTCATTTACACATTCAGCCAACCAGTCAGCACACCCTCGCTAGGTAGGCCGCAAGAGTTAAGGATAAAGATTTTGGAGTTAGGTAGGAGTTGAAACCCCAGCACTGCCCCTAGTTGGGCTGGGTAACGTTGGGAAAGCTATTTCCCCTCACTGAGATTTCACTTCCTTGCCTGTAAAATGGGATTAATAAGAGCACCCGGAGGGTGGGGGTACTGGGATGTTGTGAGGAGCCAGTGGAACAATGATGTGAGAGTGGCTGACACAGAGCCTTGGAGGGAAAAATGGGTGGCAGGTGGGCTGCGCAGGGGAGCCAAGCAAGCTGCCAGCCCTGCAGACTGGGCAGCCGGGCCTCCAGGGGCCAGATGAGGTGAGGGCGGGCTCAGAGCCTCCAGGGGCCGGATGAGGTGAGGGCTTCTCCCCTCCAGGGAGAAGAGTGGGCGGGCTCAGAGACAATTGCTAGGTTTCTGGACCACAGGTTGCTCCCTTCTGATAAACTAAGGAGCAGTGAGGAAACACGGAAAAAAGACTCGAAGAAGTTTAGAGAAGAGTCCCAGCCAAACAGGGAGCTTCGGACAGCATGGAGTTACTGCCCCAGCCAGGCCAGGGAACGTGAGCACGCACACCACGTGTACACACGCTCACAAGCTGCACATTCTCACTCATGCATACACACCCGAGGGCTTGTACACACACACACAGATGCACCATCAGAGGCACAGCACTTTATAGTTTACAAAGAGCCTTCTCTTTTATCTTCTCATTTGATACTGAGGGATGGAGACACTGTCCCTGAATTGGTGTAGGACCCATTCTAGAGCTGGCAAGAGATGTGCATCCCTGGTATCTTCCAGAGGCCAGGGCCCATACCACGGGCTGTGCTGCTCAGTTTTTCCCTTGTGGTGGTGTCGTGGGAGTTGAATGGCAACAGAAACGCCAGAAAAGTTTTAACACAGCTCCCTCAGATATACCCGTTCACCCTGCCGCACTCCCCTTTAGCAGACCGCACCAGGACTCAGGGACTCACTTTCTCCACCAGTCACGTGGAGGCAAGAGCTTTCCTAAGGGCCTCCTCTGTGGACTCCTATCTGGTCCTGATCCTTCCCAGCCTCTTCCCACCACAGGCTCCTGGGGGCACAGCCTCCTCTCTGAGGGTCACTCACCAGCACAGAACGCTTAACAGTTCTTCAAAACTCAGGGGGAGATCGTTGTTACCCCCACGTTACAAATTGAGGCCCAGAGAGGGAAAGTGACTCAAACCCAGGCCTGTGTGGCTCCCAGGCCCGCCTGCCCTGTTCCCCTCCTCTACCGTGGCCCAGCCCGGTCCCCAGGTCGCTGTCTCCTCTGCCCTCCGCGCTGCACAGGCTGCAGCTCTAGGTACAACCAGGCCAAGGAAGGGAGGAGGACCCCAAGTCCGCTCCCACTCTCTCTCCAGCTTGCAGCGAGCCAAAGTGGCTGCAAGCGGGCCATCTGTCAAGATCGCTGAGCTCTGAGGGGAGGTGGGGTCTTAGCACTCTCAGGGCACGGACCCAGAACACTCACCCAGGAGGGAATGAGCGCCACGCAGCTCTGTCAAGCGCTGGGGGAAATTCTGACTCCTGGAGCAGTCCCTATTCTAACCAGTTCTGGTGCCACAAACTGTCACATGCACATCTCAGAGTCGTCCCGGGAGACAGCCAATGAGGAAACCGAGAAATCCGAGGAGGGGAAGTAACTTGCCTCAGCCCAGAGCTGGCAAGCTGGCAAGCAAGGACTGAGACCCAAATCCAGAACATTCCAGCTCAAGTCCCTAACACCAAGGCTAACCAGCCACTTCCCAGTCACTTTGCCTTCTGAGTGTGCTCACCCCCAGAATGGGTATCATCAATTCAGCCCCAAGGGCTGTTGGGAGGATTGAGTGAGGTGGCATTGAAAGACCAGGGCTTGGGCTTCCCTGGTGGTGCAGTGGTTAAGAATCCGCCTGCCAATGCAGGGGACACGGGTTCAAGCCCTGGTCCGGGAAGATCCCACATGCCGCCGAGCAAATAAGCTTGTGTGCCACAACTACTGAGCCTGCGCTCTAGAGCCCGCAAGCCACAACTACTGAGCCCGTGTGCCACAACTACTGAAGCCCGCGCGCCTAGAGCCTGTGCTCCGCAACAAGAGAAGCCACTGCAACGAGAAGCCTGCGCACCACAACGAAGAGTAGCCCTTGCTCTCCGCAACTAGAAAAAGCCCGCGTGCAGCAGCACAGCCAAAAAAAGTCCCAACGCAGCCAAAACAATAAAATTAATTAAAAAAAAAAAAAGAAAGACAGACCAGGGCTTGGCCCGGGGTCTTGGCACCCAGCGGATGACCGTTTTCTTCCTCATCTCCACCCCACCCCTCAGCCCTCTCCTGGCTTTTCTCAAGTCTGAAGAGAGTCCTGGCACTGCTCATTGCTGCTGCAGGGAATGACTAACCTGGTTTTCTCAGCAGTGCCTGGAAGGTCCATTAAAGGATGCTGAGACTCTGAGATTAATGGTTCTGTTGTCTGGCTCTTGCCCCACAGGTCCAGATGCCTTGCCTTTCGCCTGTGGGCTGAGTATGGCTCCTGAGATTGAGGGTGATTTGGGGGGAAAAGTCTGAGCCCAGGCCACCATCGCCTTCCCCAGCTCCAATCCATCCTAGAGCTTGGGCTTGATGAGAAGGCAGCCAGGGTGGCTCTGCCTCTGGCCAGTGGTGGGTCTGGGCCAGCCACTCCCCATCCGTGAGATTAGTCCTCTTCCTCTTCCTCCTTTTTCTTTTTTTACAAGTACTTATTGGGCACCTACTCTGTGCAGGTAATGTTCAATGCACTTGAGAGCACAAAACTCCCTGCCCATGTAGCACCTACATTCTAGCAGGGGAGACTAGTTTATTTTAGTTCATGAGTAAATATATAGCAGGTCAGGTAGTGATAAGAACTACAGAGAAACATAAGGGAGGTTAAGGGGCAGAGATCCACAGGGCTTGGGGGCACTGTCTGGATTTTCTGGGTCCTCTTCTCACACCACCACCTCCCGCCTAGCCTGGAGGAGGCCCCAGACCCTGAGCCCCAACTCTGTGCCTGGCCCTGCCTTGGTGGGTCTCAGCAGCAGGCCAGGGGCCAAGGCGAGGGCTCCCTGGGCACAGGCCACCGCTCAGGACCACTAAGGCTGCAGCGCGGAGCATCCTGAGCCTGCCTTCCACTCGCAGCCTGCAGAAGCTTTCCCCAGGCTCGGAGAGGGAGTGCATCCTCCAACCAACCCCGATGTTTCATTGTAGAGACAGGGTGCTGGGCCCAGAGAGGGGCAGGGACTTGCCTGGATCACACAGCAAGGCAAAGGTGTCTTGTCCCCCTCCTGCCCTCTCCTCTGGCATGTCCACAATGGTGCACTAAGGGCTGAGCCTCAGCAGAGCACTGGCCTGTGAGGGACTGCCTGTGTCCTCAGCCTGCCCCATCCTCCCAGCTCTGACAGGCCAAACTCGTCTTCTCTCAGCCCCAGGAGGTTGAAGCCACTTCCCCTCAGCCCAACCTCAAGAGGTTAGAATTTTGGTCGACTGCCTCATCTTGCTCAGATGTGATTTCAGGTGGGTCCTACCCCTCTCTGGGCCTCAGTTCCCTCATCTGCCAAATGGAGGAAATGAAGGCACCTGCATCTCGGGTCTGTCAATGAAGAATGAGCACAACACTGGCAAGAGGGCAGTTTGCAGACTTTTAGGTACCACTCCAACGACAGAGGTTGTTATATGTTCCACACTCCTGTTTATCTGAAAACCAGCCTCCTCATGCTTGTGGGGCCCTGAGGCAACCCCCAGAGCAGGGCAATAAGTGAAAATTCCACAGAACCAGTTCTACAGAAAAGACAAAAACACCCCGGCTCCCAACCAGCGGGCCAGCAGCAGACAGGAAAAGCCCTTTCTCTGTCCTTGCGGTGAGAAGGTGAGCAGGGAGACACGGAAAGGGACAGGCCTGGGAGGACTGGGAAAGCTTATTCCGGAAGAAGGTGTAAGCCTGAGGTAACTGTAAGCCTCAAGTCCCAGGCTGGGAGAGGACGTACCTACACGAATGGCAGGTACATGCATGTCTACGTGGCGGGGGTGGTGTCAGCTATGAGTGGGTCTGACCTGCAAGAGGCACATGTATTCATAGCAGTGCATGTGTTTGGAATTGCACCCATGTGTATACGGTACATGTGTGTGTCCGTGTGAGTGGCCCTGGAGTGTGTACATTCACACGTGTGTTTGCCTGTGCTTGTGTCTCTGCATGTAATGCACACATGGGCCCACTCCTGGGGTGCCCACAAACCCCCAGTTTAGAGGCCTTGTTTTCCCAGGCTCAGCAATCCTTGCCACAATCCCAGGCAGGCCCAGATGCCGTGGAAGATTTGTGGGGTTCCTGGTCACAGCAGGCTCTCAATTTCCCTGGGGAACAAAAGCCATTACACAAGAGGAGGAGGAAGGTTTAGAGGATTAACTTGGCCTGCTCAGCCCTGGATATAGGCTTCTCATAGTGGGGGAGGGGTGTGCCCAAGGCCGAAGCCCTCCTCCTGGGGTCCTCAGCTGCCTGTGGGCACTGACCCCTTCACAGCTATCCTCCTGCCCTCAGTCACTGGCAGTAACCCCTGTCCAGGTACAACAGTCAAGCACTTTACAGTTTACAAGGATTCTATCCACAGTCACGTCCTCACAGAGTAGACTGAAGCGTGGACTTCGCACAAAAGCTTTGGCATCCTCTGAGAGCAGGTCAGGAATGTGCCTGGAGGCCTCACCTTGACCAAGTGAATCAGATCCTTAAGGGTTTCAGGCAGACATTGACTTTTGAGAAGCACTGATATAGAAACTCCATACAGAGCCAGCTCCTCGGCCTCCAGGTTCTCCCAGGATGGCTAAGACCCATTCAAGTAATCTATACAGGCAAACACAGTGCTTACCACAGTGCTTATACTATCTCATTTAATCCTCATAAACCCACGCAAAGTAGGTACCATTATTATCCCCATATTACAGATGGGAAAGGGAGGCACACTGAGTGGTTAGGTAACTTGCCCAAGGTTCCTGTAGCTAGTAGTAGCAGAGCCAGGATTTGAACACTGCTTCATTCAGCTGCAATGTCTCCATGTCTGGGTGGGAGTCAGTCTGGTGGGAGAGGCAAGAAAAAAAAAGCGAAAAATCCAAGAAGCCAGTGGATGTTCTCATAAGAATCTAGGGAATAGCAGATTTTACTTATGGATTGCTTTAGAATTTCCAAGCCCATAAAAGGCTGGAAGCAGCTCAGACAAAAGCCACATATGCCACATGATCCCATTAGAGGCAGAGCAGTGAAACAGCAGCAGAAACCTAGACTAAGATGGTGACTGAGCTTCCTGGCAGCCAAAGTAAGAGGTGGGAGGTGGGGAGGCTGTGAGGATTCCAGAGCTGGGCCAGAGTCACAGGACTGGAGATAAGGGGACCACTAGAGAGATATTCAGGAGGCAGGTTCCGTGGGACTTGATAACTGAATGGTGGAAATGGGGAATAAGGAGAAATGAGGAAGAAGCCCAGGATACACCCAAACCCCTCCTTCCTGCCAGGGTGGCTGGAGGACAGAGAGCACACAGGCAAGAACTGGGCACAGTGCCTCACACAGCAGGTGCCTAGTGAGTGTGTGCTACCGGCCCCCCGTTTTCATTCATGCCAACACCTGCTCAGGCCTGGGCCACTCCCCCCCTCACCCTGCCTCACATGGCCTGGGGGCTCAGGACCCTTCTGGCTCTACTCTTCCACCAATCTCTTGGGGGCTCCTGCTTACCATCCCAGCCTCCAGAGCCACTGCCCTGAAGCTACAGTTCCTTCCTTCAATCATCAGCTCGGGGGCTGGGGGGTGATCATGAGGAAATAATCAGGGAGAGAGTATCGTCAATCAGCAGGCCTGCTGCCCAGGACTCAGGGCAGGGCTGGCAGTGGAAATGCTGCAGGGCAAATGGTGACACCCAAGGAGTTCCCACCACCCAATCTCTTAAACTCTCCACCAATCCAGGTCTGTGCCAAAGGAAACTGCCCCCACCCCTCCACCCCACCCCCTAGTTCTTTAAGTTCTGAGACCAGTTTCTCAGATGTGGGCTGAGGCTGAGTGGGGAGGAGGGAAGGGGTTCATAATCATGGTGCCTTAGGCTATATTTTCACATCTTTTCATCTGATCATTCATTTGTTCATTCCCTCCTCCCTCATTCGACTAATGTTTATAGACTTGTCCAAGGACCGGGTCTCCATGACAGTGATGATGTCCCCAGTGGTGAGAGAGAGAGATCAGGGAGTTTTAGTCCTGTGTGCTAGATTGCCAGAGGAGGAAAGTGAGGCCTGGAAAGGGAAAATGACTTGTCCAAAGTCACACAGCTGAAGCGGGGACTGGCCCTCAGTTCTCCAATTGCCAGCCCGTGCTGAGTTCAAACACGACTGCGCATTAATGGCGCTGTTCTTACTAACACCACAGGAATCTTTTCTACAACCTAAGGTGCTTGGAGAGTCTCTCAGACAGAATGAGGTTTGCCTTTGGGGTCTCCTCAGCCCCATTTCTTGTTCTTTCCCTTCTTCCTCTTCGTGTCCCCTCCAAGAGCCCAGTGATCCCACAATTCCTTCATCCTGTGGGGAATGATGACAACTCGGTATCTGAACCATTTCCTCTCCTGAGACGCCTTCCCCTGAACCCAGAGCTACTCCAAACACTTCCATTGCCCCGATGAGAAGGAACCTCTGGGTTCACTGTCAGCCCTCCCAGGCAGCATATGGCCATGGACCAAGGACATTCCCATAACACATAGGAGCAGCTCCAGTGCTTGTGGCTGGCTGTGGAGGGCCCTTTCCTGGGGGCTTCTCAAATAGCTGCAGAAGTGACCTCTAGTATACCTTTCCTGGTAGTTTATACACTTGAAAGTGTCAGACTGCCAGACTGGTCAGAATCCTTGAACACTTGAGCTGGAATCAGGGAATGTTATAGCTGGAGAATAGAAAGTTGGAGTTTGGATTATAGACTCTTAGAATGTTTCAGTTGAGATTACAGACTCTTAGGGCTAGGGCTGTAGAATCATAAATAATTATAGCTGGAATTATGGATCAAAGGAAATCAGGGACAGAAATGATGCCAACATTACTCCATCCCCCCCTCTCTGACAGCTGAGAAGAGAGAACTGGCCTTGTCACCCAGCCAGTGGTGGCTGGGCCAGGCCTTCTGCTGCCCAACAGGGCTCTGTCCTCCAGATCTCCTGGAGAAGCATCCAGGGCCTCTGGGGCCGAAGCACTCCTTGCCTGGGGACAGTGGGGACAGTGGTCTGCCAGTCCTCTAGCCCAAGCCTCACCGCCAGCCCATCACAGCACCCCACCACCAAGGCGGATATATTTAGGTGTCCTCCCTGAATATGTTTCCACAGCTCTGGACACTGCCTTCTATGTCCCCTCCTTCTCCAAGGCCTCTGGGCACTTTCTCTAAAATGACCCAATGAAGTCACCAGGAACAAGGGCTCTTACTCTGCCAATGCAAATATTTCTCCCGCAAAATGAAGCCCAGCCTGCGGGGTCTCCTGGTTCAATTTGGTCTGGAGCTCAGACCCATCAGCTCTAACTCTGATGTTGCAGCATTCCTCTAACTTCCAGGGCCTGCTTTGGCCCAAGGACCACACATCCCTAATCCTACTCTTCTTAACTTTCCTCATTCCAGGCAGAGGGCACTCCTGCCCCTGCCCCTGCCAGTCCCCAAACACACACACACACACACACACAAACACACGTGTACACACTCGAGGGCACAGGCCAGCATTTTTCTGTTCCTCCCATGTTTGTCAGGAAAGAGGCCTCCATCCAAGCTCCATGCCTGCACTGGCAGCTCTCCCTTCAGCCTCTCTCCCACGCCCCATCCCAGACCTTGCCAGAGACTCAACATCTTCCCCTTTCAGACTGTATCTTCCCAGGAGCCAGAGTGTCTCTGAGACTTCAACAGCGATAGAGGTTGGGGACAGGAAGGGATCCTTCAGACATACTTAAGTGGGAGACTCTCAGATTCCCACCTGCCCAGCTCATGGGAAATCACTGGCTCTGTGGAAACGGAGAGTTCTTAGAGCAGGAAGGGACCACTTATATGGCAGCTCCATCACTGTCATTATAGTTTTACAACCTGTTAAGGGTTGTTATATGCCAAGCACTTTATAGCCAGGAACTCAGTCAGTCCTCACAATAACCCTACAAGGCAAATACTATTAATGTCTCCATTTTACAAAGGAAGAAACTGAGGCACAGAAAGGTTTTGCCCTAAGTCCTACACGTAGAGAGTGCCAGAGGTGGGATTTAAACCAGGCTTGGATAACATAACCACCTTGACAGTCCCAGGTGGTGGCTTGCTATAGGAACCCCCTTCACCTTGGTCCCCTGGGGTCCTGCAGCCTCTTCCTGCCCAGTCAGTGCAGAAAAGGTGAGAACTTCATTGATGGTCACAGCTCCTCCTGAGAAGCCCAGCTTCCCTGCCCCTGCATTAGAAATGACAGACAGACCCCACCACAGTTCCGCCATGCAGGACACATCCCCACGCCCCTGTGACCCCTTCCTTCACATACAGTGCACATGGCCATACACAACTCCAGCTTCCCACCACACAACTCGGCTGAACATCTGCACACAGCACACACCAGACATGCTGCCACACTCCCCCAGGAGGTCTAAGTCCTGCTATCTCAGTTTGGAGGACAGGCAGCGGAGTCCTCCTACTTTACAGGTGCTGAAGGGCCCCCAGCAGGATAAACCCAGCTCATCACCAAGCCTTGAGTCAACTCACTGGATGGGAACTTACCAGAACAATATTTTTACATTAAAACAAATGCAAAAATATTACAGAGAGGAATGCAAAATCCACATGAATTTTGAAGATTAAACAATGAGACTTCAAAGAATCTTCGTGTGTGTGTGCCTGTGCGCACACCCACGCGTGCCTGTGGGAGGGTGAGCATGGGACTAGCTGTACTTCCTCCACCCAGGTCCGGGGTGAGCTTTCACTCTCCCAAGCCCTTAGGGGCGCTGGGTGGAAAAGTCAGAACCACCCTAGGGAACACTTCATGGAAAATGTTCTGTCAAAGTAAGAGCTGCACAAATGCTTCTTGTCTTCCATTACTTGGCTCAGCACACTACACAGAGCCATGGATGTGCCACACACAGAACACACATCTCACAACAGGCACCACATGCATGCATGCACCATCGTGTGATTGCTCCCACCATACAGTGGGCACACACCCTGGGCACACACGTGGAACCCCCGGGTTACCCTGGCACAGTCAGTCATGGCTATAGGGAGGTACCACACTTCTTGCACGCAGACAACACCACAATTCATTGGTCACACTCGACACACCTAGCACACACCACACACTAACTGCATACAACCCAGTACACACACATTGCCCACACTAATCTCTTACATACTGCCCACGACATACCCACCACACTCCTTCCCTCACGTACACACTCACTCCCCACGGGGAAACCCACCTGGGGCCCGCAACGCGAGACTGGCGTGGGCAGAGCTGCCCTCTACCCGCTCACCCCGGCACCGCCTGCCCCTCGGTCCCCCCCCCCCCGCCCCCACAGTCCTCATCTGGACCGCAAAGTCCCCCGGGCCGGGGACTTCATTTGCTCCGGCGCTGGCACGAGGCGAATCCGCGAACCGAAGCTCCGCACAGGCAGAAGGCAGCGGCTGCAGCTCAGACCCCGGGCGTCCCCGCTCCTCGCGCCGCAAGAGCAAAGAGGTGGGGAGGTGGTGTGGCCGGGCGGCCTCCAAGCCGGAGCTGGACTCCCGCTCCCGCCCAGGCGGGACCCGGCTGGACTGACAGTCGCTGGGGAACCCGGGGGAGGTGATAGTTCTGGAAGAGGCCGCAGGTGTCAGGAACCGGTGCTCTGGACTGGGACCCAGGAGCCCTGGACTCCAGCCCAGATTCCCTCACCTCTTCTACCTTCTCTTGGCCTCAGTTTCCCCCATTGTATTGGGGCCTGGGGTGGGGTGGGGGGCTTAAGTGGTGATTCCGACTTTCCAGCTCTGACATTCTGCAATTCTGGAATGGTGGTGGGGAGGGAGGGATAAAAATAAATGCTATTTCTTGAGCACCTACTATGTGCCAGGC